TTTCTGGCTGCACTTCACCCCCGCACTCCTAATCTTGGGGCACCTGGTAAGGGGGGGGGCAGGTGGATCGGAGGATCTCCTGGTGGGTCTGCTCCTGGGCCTGGCCAAGCAGGTTAACATTAACAGGTCCAGGTAGTGGGCCGTGGAGGGGGTAGTTATGGCCGAGTGCCTGCCCCCTTTTCCGTGGCTACGTTCGTGGCTGGGTGGCCCTGGAGAAGGAGCACGCGATGTCCACTAATGCTCTCGATATCTTTCAGGAGAGGTGGGCACCGCGGGATGTGGGGTGCCTTATCTCTCCCCTCCAATTCAATTTTGATTTGATCCCTACCCTCCCCTTTACCTTTTCGTTCACGTAGGCATTGCACACCGCGCCCCCCCCCACCCCGCCGGGTTCTTTAGTCACCTGGGTGTCTTTCCTGGTGGGTGGACTATCAATAAAGATATTTGCACACCTGGTGTTTTTACTGTGTCTCACACCTGCACACGCACAAAAAAACAGAAAAAACAAGAAGAGACAAAAAGATTTAATAAAACACAATAGCTCAGATGAAGGGTCTAGGCCCGAAACGTCAGCCTTACTGCTCCTATGATGCTGCTTGGCCTGCTGTGTTCATCCAGCTCTACACCTTGTTATCTCAACTTGTGGATGTTGTAGTTGGTTGGCTCGCTGAGCTGGTTCGCTATTCCGCAGATGTTTCATTACCCTGCTGGGTAACATCATCAGTGCAGCCTCCGATGAAGCGCCATTGTGTTTTCCTGCCTTTTATTTAAACTCTGGTGGTCCGTTGAGCTGGGTTACCTCACTTCCGGTTTTCCTTCGCAGTGGAGTACATCTCGGGTCTAGCTCTATGTGTTTGTTGATGGACTTCTTAGTGGAGAGCCAGGCCTCTAGGGATTCCCGTGCTTGTCCCTGCTTGGCCTCTCCCAGGATCCTGGTGTTGTCCCAATCTCCAGCTGATGGAGAAATTTCTGAAGAAGGGTCCTGACCCGAAGTGTCAGTTTTCCTGCTCCTCTGGTGCTGCCTGGCCTGCTGTGTTCCTCCAGCTCCACACTGTGTTGAATATAACCAGGAGATTAGAATCCCCCTCAGTTCAGGCAACAGACTTCTGAGCTGGCTAGCCACAGCTAGTTTACTGTGGGAAGAAGAAGAAAGAGAACAAAAAAAAGAATATTTCCTTTTGGAGAGTGTCTCTTTTGGCGGTGTTAAAGCCTCTGACAATTGCTGCAAAAAAACCCCCAGGAGATTAGAATCTCCTTAGTTCAGGGGACCTACTCTGAGTTGGCTGGCCACAGCCTGTATACTGTGCAGTACTAAATAAAGGGTGACTTGGTGATGGGATACCAGTCTCTGTGCAGTTATTTCATGGAGAAAAAAAAACAAAATTTTAATCAGTGACAACTTCATTGAGACTTCCCCAAGTGGAGAGAGAATCACAGGGTTGGGGGATAACTGTCTACGTAGAGCACTCAACCTCACAAAATGTCCTGAGGTGATGTGTTATAAAGCCACTTACGGAAGTGTTAGGTCACAGTTGACAAGAAGCTTAGGTCAGAGATGTAGGTTTTAGAAGTGTATTAAAGGGGGAAAGTGAGGGAGAGAGAGGTGCGGAGTGGATTGGAGCCTCCCGGTCCAGGGGACAGGACGCCGTCGTTAAGAATGGCCACAGAGTTCCATCTACAAGTGCACAGTCACATCCGTTATCGCATCACACCATCCGCAGGGCACAGCCCGTGACCTCCAAGTACCGGCTGGGGCTCGGGTGCACTGATGGTCTTAATGTCTTTTGCAGGAATATGAGAAGGTGTGGTGTTCCATGCGTTGTTATTGTGGTACGTATGTCTCCTGAAAATGCAGCCCCGTCACCTTCAACCTCCCCCCACCCAGGCCTTCCCCACCCCCAAACCCCAAATACACAAGATTCACGCACAGGCACATGCATGCAGTCACACACACGCATGCATGCAGTCTCACACACACACAAGCACACAAAAACACATAGGCACATGCACACAGTGTCTCTCTCTCACACACACACATACAGACACACACACATGCACACACACAGAGTCTCACACACCCACACACAGAGTCTCTTTCTCACACACACACAGACACACATGCATACAGAGTCTCACACACACACGGACACGGACACGCACACGCACACATGCACACACAGAGTCTCTCTCTCTCTCTCACACACACACACACACACACACACAAGCACACAGAGTCTCACACACACACACACACATGCACACACAGAGTCTCACACACCCACACAGGGTCTCTCTCCCTCTCTCACACACACACAAAGAAACACATACACACAAAGACACATAGGCACATGCACACACAGTCTCACCCACACAATCTCTCTCTCTCTCTCTCTCACTCACTCACACTGCACACAGTCACACGCAGACAGTTAAAAACTGAAAGAACTGCAGATGCTGTAAATCAGGGACATCAATTGCCCCTACCCCACTCTAAAATTGACCATCACCAGAGATCTCCAATCTCCAAACACAGAGAGAGAGAACATCTCACCTACATGGCATCCCACCCCACCAACCCCACTCCAAACCTGGCCATCACCATCAACATCCCCCCTCCCCGTAACCTCCCCTCCAAATACAGATAGAGAGAAAGAACATCTCACCCACATGGCATACACCCTTCTCCCAGTTCCCACCACTGCTAAAGTTGACCATTTCCAGCAACCACTGCAGCTCCCCCTTTCTCCAAACCACACTGCTTCCCCATCCTTCCCCACCCACACACTTCCTGGGCCTGGGCTTCCCAAACTCTTCTTTATACTCTTCCTCCCCACAACCCCAACCCGTAGTATCAGCGATGCCCACCGCCCACCACCCACCGACTCCACCACCACTCATCACATTGTGTACTCTTGGACCGGCGCTTTCTAAACCTTTTTCCTCCCCATGTAACCCTTTACTCCCCATCTTCGGCAACACTCCCCAGAGCCCTACCATTAATGTATAAGTCCATCAATTGCCCCCACCTTACTCCAAACTTGGCCATAACCAACAATTGCCCCACACCCTACCCCAAAGTTGGCCAGCACCAACAATTCCCCCAGTCCACTCCAAAGTTGTCCTCACCATCAACTGCCCCCACTCCAGTCCATAGTTGGCCATCACCAACAATGTATAAGTCTTGCCCTGGTTTGCCTTCCCAAAATGCAGCGTCTCACATTTATCTAAATTAAACTCCATCTGCCACCCATTGGCCCATCCTATCAAGGTCCTGTTGTACTCTGACATAATCTTCTTCACTGTCCACTGCACCATCAATTTTGGTGCCATCTGCAAACATACCACACCTCCTGTATTCTTTGAATATTTTTGAGGCAGGTTGTTGAAGTAGGTAAGAATGAGGAATTAAAATTGTCATCAGATCCAGATCTTATTAAATGGGGGAGCAATGTGGACACAGCTTACCCCTACTGCTGACACGTTGGTGTGTTTTCCCGATTGTACAGACCATAGACCTGGACTTCCCAAAGAAGGGAACTCAGACCCAAGTGCTGAACGTTTGAGATCACGAGCTCCGACGTTTCAATGGTGGAACTCTGCTCTCACAGGTCTTCTCCACTTGCCCCTCTCCCACCTTAACACCATTCACCCAGGGAGTGCAACAATCTTCCAGACTCAAGCTGGCACTGCTGCCTTACAGCACCAGGGACCCAAGATGGATAACTATGGCGTTGGTTCGAGAGGTATGATGGTGATGGCCAACTTTGGAGTGGGGTGATGGGCAATTGTTAGTAATGGCCAACTTTGGAGTGGAGTGGAGTGGGGGCAATTGATGGTGATGACCAAGTTTGGAGTGGAGTAGGGGCAATTGATGGTGATGACCAAGTTTGGAGTAAGATGGGGGCAATTGATGGTAATGGCCAACTTTGGAATGGAGGGGAATTGTTGGTGATGGCGAACTTTGGGGTGGAGTGTGGGGCAATTGATGGTGATGGCCATCTTTGGAGTGGACTGGAGGAGTTGTCGGTGCTGGCCAACTTTGGGGTGGGGTAATTGTTGGTGGTGGCCAAGTTTGGAGTAAGGCTGGGGCAATTGATGGTGAGGACAACTTCGGATTGGAGGGGAATTGTCGGTGCTGGCCAACTTTGGGGTGGGGTTGTGGGGCAATTGTTGGTGGTGGCCAAGTTTGGAGTGGACTGGGGGACGTTGTTGTTGCTGGCGGTTGAGGGTGAAGAGGTGGGGAAAGGGGTGTGTGACGTGCTGCGTCATGACGTCGAGGGGGCGGCTGACGGCGGCGGAGTGATCCCCGGTCGGGGGGGGGGTGGGGGGGGGGGGGGTGGGGGGGGCCGCGGTTGGAGGCGGCTGGAGCCGCTGGCCCTTTGAGGGAGGGGATG